ACCATCGGCGGCTGGCGCGAGTCCAAGTACCTGATGAGCTACGCCGTCGTGGCGCGCTGCCGCCGCGGCTTCGCGCGCCTAGCACGCGACACGGGTGCTGCGCTCGTCCCCGTCATCGGCGTCGGAGAGACGTACCTCGCCGGCCGCCCCACGCTGTTTGCACGCGTCTTCAAGGCCCTCAAGCCGTGAGCCCCCCGCGCCCTGCAGCGCCAGCCTGGCTCCCCACGCACACGCGCGTCTCCGTTCGGATCCCTCAAGCCAGCCTCCACCGTCCGCTTACATAGGTGCCGATCAACAAACCTCACTCTCCTTGCTTGGCTCCCATTACGCCACGCCCTCACCCTCTGCTCCTACATACCGACCACTGCCCCCGTCCGCGCCGCCCCCATTCCTGCCCCGCAGCTTCCGGCCCTACCCTCTGAAGGTGGTGTTCGGGCAGCCCATCGAGCCGAAGGACGGCGAGACGGCCGACGAGCTGCACACGCGCTACTGCGACGGCCTCCTGGCCCTGGCGAAGCAGCACAACGTGCCCCTGCGCATCGTGGAGTGAGCGCACAGTGCTTGGAGGGGCGCACTGCGCACGGCAGGCGGGGGGAGCAGCGCAGTGCTTGTGGCATCGGGCGCGGGCGCACTCGGCGCGGACCACCCGCGGGTGGTCCGCGCGTCTAATTTGATCCTGTTTGATTTGCGGGATTGCAGCAACGAGGATCGCGGCAACGAGGAATCTTGAAGCCGCCCAGCTTTAGGGTGCGGCAGGCGCCCGAGCAACGCTGGGGTTGGTTTCATGGGCTGTCGGCGCCAGGGCGCAGGCAGAACACGTTGATGTGAGCCGCTGCTCTCTCTGCGTTTGGGGGCCCTGTGGCGCACGCGCGCATCCGCGCTGCGTTCTCATGTGGTTTGCTTAAGACACGGTGTGTGACGCGGCTCCAACGCGATATTCCAACAGCCTGTGTGTGATACTTGTTCAAGGCGCCGGCCGGTTGCAATGCACTGGACGCCATCCACACCTTGCTTGCTTTGATTCCGTGTGTGGCTCGTTCCGCAACCCCTGGGCGCTCGCACCGGTGGTCTCAAAAGCAAGCCGGAGATTCCCAATTTATTTTCTGGTGCAGGGCGCGCCCCATGCGGCATCAAGTGCGAGGTCACCTGTGTGACCCATTGCGCCTCGCTCGCTCCTGGGGGGGGGAGGCTCTTCGTGCACCGCTGGTCGCAACACGCTCGCTCGAGAAGCGCGTGGTGAAGGGAGAGTTTCACACAGGGTTTGACCTGTGAGTTTGACCAGGAGCCCTTGGTGTCGACGCCAACCTCCAAATGTTTTGAGTCGAGGCGCGGTCACCCCCTTATTCTCACTGTGAGGCTGTAGTGATTTCATTTGATGACATCACCACCCATCCCAGCCTCAAGCCTCGGTGTGTGAAGCATGTCGAGCACGCTCCCGGTACTGTGGGTCGACGCGCAACTCGACACAAGTTGTGAGCCTCTGCTGTGCCGGGTGCCGTATCGCCGAGTTTAAGCTTGCGTTTTCGCATCGCGTCCACCCCAAGCACGAGCCCAGTGTCTGAGTATCGGTGCAGCGACCGGCCGCGCGGCGGCGCAACGCAACCCAAGCGTTCAATTTCACGTTTGACATTGGATCCTGCTATGACCGCTGATTTACCAGGCACGGCTCACTATGGCTAAGTGTTGCTCATGCGCGCACGCGTCAACATGCGAGGACATTCTAACTATATGCACTGGTGCTACCTTACCGCGTTTTATTTCGGCGATGCGCAAGGAAGCGGATGGCGCAAACTCGCCCCTCATGCTGCCATGCTCAGTCCCCTGCACGCCATCTGGTGGCGATTTCTATCGCCACCCACTTCCAGCTGCTACACCATACCCACAATGTGCAGTGCACAGCGCATTTCATGAAACAAACACGAGCGCTAGCACATGGCCGTTCGTCCACACGCCAACCCCTGTGGGTGTCCAGCGAGCTTGCAGCCTCGTGTGGGGCTGCAAAGGCTTGCTCAGAGTAGGCGCACCACCGGCAGCGGATACGGCGGTACTGGCGGTGCCCAACGCCGCTGATGCCACCATCCTGCTGGCCGCTCTATTATCCTGACAGCGTCTCTCAAGGGCACGGGCCGCTCTTGCAGGCTGGATGTGATGCGTTCATGTCACCTCGTGTTTGCCAGGGCGCTTGCCTTCACCATGGCTGCTGTCACCTGCCCCACCAATACGCAAGACTGTCGCTATTTGGATAGCATGTGAACATTCACTGCCCAGTGATCTTAGATGACCGTGTAAACTTGAGCTTGGCATCAGAGGCCACGTGAAAGGTGTTTCACGGCAACGGAAGGCAGGGGCTGCCCACGTAGGAGGTGACAGCCCGCAGACTCAGGCGAACACGACGGCGCGGCGCACGGCGCGAGGCGCTCTGAGAATGGGCAAAATGGAATAAATGTTGCGGCACTTGTGGGCCCTACGCATGCAGGTGTTAAAAGTTGTAGTCGTCATTGTGGCGCTGGTTCACTTTGCACAGGATTGCTGTTGGCAGAGCCAGAACCTCATAATAGCTTCATTCAAATCAGCAACAGCACCAAAGCTCGCTTTCTCACGCAAGTGGGGGCCACCACGTGTAGAGCATGAAGTTTGCAGGGGTGAATCAGGTGGTTTGCTGTTCAGTCGCCCCTCAGATGGGGTTGGCGATGATGGTCACCAGGTGTTGGTGTCAGCGGCAGGGAACGCTCTCGACATCAGGGGACTAGAGCGGTACCTGGATCACATACTTCAACACCATCTTGTCCGGTGTGCCACGCAGTGCCCCGGTGGACGATTTTCCCCGCGTTGCTGGATGCTCGGAGGAGGTTGACAGGTCACATTGACAGTATTGAATCTTAAACACAGACCTCTAGCTCCACGGGGCCCGAGGTGTTCGAGCACCTCGGCAGCAGCAGCAAGTTGGCGAGCAGCAGTTCAGGGGACTGCGTATCTCATCAATGCATCCAGCCGCGGCATGGCGTACTGCCGTGGTGCCTGAAGTGCCAGCGAAAGGGGCGGCGGGAGCAGCGACAGGCATGCGCGCGCTCGACCTCCGTTGCGGGCATGCGCGCGCGCATGCTTTGCCACGTCGACCCGCCGGGCAGCCGCAGCTCTTCGCACGGCCGCAGTTGTTGTACACACGCAGCGCGTGGCAGGCCCGCGCGCCGCCGCCCGTTCATGCACAGGCTGGTGTGCAGGCGGCACAGGCGGGCGGCGGCGCGGGCGACAACGGCGACACTGGCAGCAGCGTAGTGCCGGCGGCCGCCGCGGAGGCAGCAGTGGCAACCAGCAGCAGCGACGCCGCGCCCAGCACGGCGCAGCAGCATGCGGCCCCGCCCACCGCGGCGCCCTTGGCAGCAGCGGACGCCTCGGCAGCAGCTGACGCGCCTGCGGCCGCGGCGCCCTCGCGGTCGCCGTCCGCGTCCCCCGAGCCCGGCCAGAGAGGCGGCAGCAACTTTGCGAAGCGCGTCGTGTCGGGTGTGCTGCTGGGCGCCGCCGCCGCGGTCATCATCGCGTACGGCCGCCTGCCGTTTCTCGCGACCACCCTGTTCGTCGTTTACCATGCGACCCGGGAGTACTTTGGCTTCCTGACCAGCAAGGGCATCTCCCAGGGCATGACCCCGCCGCCGCCGTTTGTCAGCGCCGTCACCACGGTGCTGTGCCTCAGCATCGCCGCGCTGACGCACGTGACGGGCATCAAGAGCGGCACGGCGATGTGCGTCGCGGCGTTCCTGCTGCTGGCGGTCAACGTGATCGCCAATCGCAAGCCGACGTTCAGCCAGCTGACAAGCTCGGTGTTTGGCCTCTTCTACTGCGGTGCGCGCACGCGCGTGCGGGAGGGAGAAAGGGGGTGGGAGGGCAAGGGCAGCGGGGCGCGGGGGGATGGGCAGTGGCTCTGCGTCCTGCCGTTGGCTGGCAGGGCGCAGGGCGCGCGCTGGCGGCCGCTCGGCTGGCGTGGCTAGCGCAATTTTTGGTCAGGCAGCAGGTGTTCCGACGCCCCGCGCCGCGCCCTGCTGGTGTGCTGACCGCAGGCTACCTGCCCTGCTTCTGGGTCAAGCTGCGCAACCTGGCGGTGGCCGCTCCTGAAGTGCACATCCCGGTGCGCACGCAAGCTCACCTGGGACGCGGGGTGGCCAGCTGGGCGGGCGCCGAAGTGCTGAGCAATGCGTGCATTGCTCAGCGGCTGCGGAGCATTGTCCCGTGACGCGCCGGGCCCTCCAGCTACCCTTAACACCTTGGCTCGACCCGCCGCGAGGCTGGCCCTGCCCCACATCGCACGGCCTCACCTGCAACTGCCCCTCCCCGTCAACCCTGCCCCGTCCCCCGCCGCGCCAGGCCGTGGCGCAGCTGCTGCCGCCGCTGAGCGTCGGCCTCGTGGCCACGCTGACCACGGTGGCCTGCATCATCGCCGCCGACACGGGCGCGTACTTTGTGGGCAAGAACCTTGGACGCACGAAGCTCACGGACATCAGCCCCAAGAAGACGGTGGAGGGCGCCCTCGGCGGCATGGCCTCGGCCGTCGCGGCGGCGCTCGCGCTGCGCGCCGTGTTTGGCTGGCCGGGGGGCGCGGCGGCGGCGGCGGGGTACGGCGTTCTCATGTTTGTGTCGTCGATATTTGGTGACCTCATCGAGTCGATCATGAAGCGCGAGGCGGGCCTCAAGGTAGGGGTCGTGTGTGTGTGTGTGTGTGTGTGTGTGTGTGTGTGTGTGTGTGTGTGTGTGTGTGTGTGTGCGTGCGCGCGTGTGCACGTGCGTGAGCGTGAGC